TAACATCGACTGGATAAATTTAGCATGTTCCCTTATATCAGTCTTAGGCGATGCAGTTGTTTTGTCGAAATTCTTAAAGTCGAAATACCTCCGTTCAAATCTGTTTTACCGTTTTGTGTTTTGTATATCTGGATTCCATGAGTTATTTTCATTCAACTTTACTTTTCATTACACTTTAGTATTCACACTAACCAGTGAACTGAAATGTATTTGTCTTATAATATCGGTGATCGCCTGTATTTGTTATGGGGCAACGTCTGTACAGATAGCTGTTGTTGCTGTTGACAGATTTCAAGCATCATTTCCATTACCTACAACTATTTTACAAAGAAGACGTGTCATGTTAGGATACATCATGTGTTACATTGATATTTGTATTATAGTATTCTATGTAACAGTTGCCATAGTATATTGAAAAGGGGAAGTAACCTATTGCCTCCAGATGTTAAAACATTTGGTGACATGTCCTTTTCTGTAACAGTAGCTGAAGGTCTATGGACATTGTGTTGTGTGTTTTATGTAGAATTACCTCTCTGTATTGCAATAATCTATAGGATAAAACAAGCAGTCGTTAGGGTGCGACCAGTATCGAATAACAATATGATATCAATTAGCATCCCGACACGTTCATTTCAAAAGAAAATTAATAGAAAACTAAAAGCATGCAGGATCATATGATATATACCTCCTTTAATAAGTATTTAGTATTACGATGAATTTTAACTTCCGTTTGCGTACTATGAACAACAAATTTATTTATTTTGTTAATAATATTTTCGTACTCCATGAACTCCTTACAACAAAATTATTATATTAACCTGTGTACACTGTTCGTTCAGTGAATGTTTACTTGTTTTTGTTAATATGTATTTTGATTGAGTTAATCTAGTTCAAGTTATATTTTATAGTGTGTATTTCTATACTGTGATGTTACACTACTATTTCAGGTTATGGTGGAGGTTTGTGCCTATTAAAGCGCTTAAACCCACTGCATTTGTTTGCACGCGTCCTAAGTCAGGACCCTGTTGTTTGGTGGTTGTCGTTTGTTAATGTTTATAAGAGATTACCGTTTCTTATATATATATATATATATATATAGATAGACCGTTGGTTTTCCTGTTTGAATGGATTTACACTAGTCATTTTAGGGGCCCTTATAGCTTGTTTTTCGGTGTGAGCCAAGGCTCAGTGTTGCAGACCGTACTTTGCCCTATAATGGTTCACTTTTACAAATTGTAACTTGGATGAAGAGTTGTCTCATTTGCACTCATACCACATCTTCTTTTACATGATATATCTATTTATGGTGCTCTCATGATGATGATGTCTGGTTCATTTTTTGTCTAATCAGATTTTTTGCAGCTTTTTAATGATGTTACACACATTTTTTTTTGTGTTTTCAAATTTAAACTGGCCTTATAATAATTTAACGTTGACTATTTGTGTCATTGAAATGAATAAATCATCTACAGTATTTAAAACTGTAAATAATACATTCAATTTAATGATCAAATGCAGCATTACATTACAGACTCAACATGTCGTCGAGACGTGAAAAGTACAGGCGTTTTTTTCGTTGATTTTACATTTTTAGTACCTGTATTGAAAACATTAACCTAGTTTTCAGTTTCCTAGTTTCCAAAAATTATGCAGATGTGGTTTGATAGACAACGAAATACCTTTATAAAAAGACCAATGACAAAAGATGTGAACAATAACAGGTCAGGCCCCACCTTGCATATCAACAAACACAATAACGTAAAGTTAGCAATAAAAAATTATTAGAGGTGTGACCATATTTGAAACAGTTCAAAAAGAAAACAGACAGACTTATGTTTACAACAACAACGAATGAAATATGCGCAAAAAAATTAAACCGACAACCAGTAGATTACAGATTTCTGATTCGAGACCGTGTTAGTGGTGTTACATTATTACATAAAAAATATGGTTCTAAATATTTGATTCATTACACTAGTACTTAACACTAAAACTGTTAAAACCGAACTAAGTGAACTAGCCTTTACTAACAACATAAGGCGACAGTGGTTTTATCGATTGACTTGTTTTGACAAAGGAGAACAGAACCAAAGTATCAAACAATAATGATCTGCACAGGAGTATGTCATTGAATTCCTACTTTCTCCCGAGGTGCAAATAATTTTACTAATTTTTATTTGTATTGAAAAATGCGGAACATTATATTCAGTAGGCAGAACTATCTTTAATAGGCAAGGTTACAGTTATCCAGTTGTTCTGGTCCTAACTGTTATTTCGAACCAAAATAAATGCTGTTAGTTAAGATTTTATATATGTATACATGTTTGTCAATTTATTTGGCCAGAACAAAAATCTGACAAGATGAGAGATCGGTGATATACATAACGATCATGATGGACTAAAGATGCAAACTATTTGTTCAAAAATAAGAACGCAATGAATGAGGTTGTTAAATTTGATATAAGCCTTTTTATGCTTCTTTGTTAAATATTTGTTTGTTTTTATTGTGATTAAGATATGTGTGGTACTTGTACATCCTGTCATTATTGTTTATGATATTATCGTATTCTTGTCTTTCATTTTTGCTAGTGTGCTTTGTCTATATGCCTTTTGGTGTTACTTCGATACTTATAGCGTGGCTCTGTACTTATATATCCCGTTATTGTGCTATTGTTAAACATGTTTGTTGCTTGTCTTTCATTTTTGCTATGTGCTTTGTCTATATGCCTTTTTATGTTTCTTTGTTATATATATGATGTGGCTCTGTACTTATACATCCCGTCATTGTGACATTGTACTATGGTAAATTTGTGTATTCTTGTCTTTACTTTTTGCTAATATGTTTAGTCTATATGCCATTTTGTGCTTCTTTTTTACATATTTGTTAGTTTTTTTAGTGATTAAGATTATAACACGAAGTTGACTGCTGTATTTTTGACATTTTGACCTATTATGTCTATTTGTTTTGTTCACGCATCGTTGTCAATATAATGGAATTTGATGCGACTGTCATATAAGTGAGAGGTTAAGCTAGCTATAAACCCAGGTTCAATCAACCAATTTCTGCATAAGAAAATGCCTGTACCAAGTCAGGAATATGACAGTTATTAGCCATTCGGTTGATGTGTTTGAGCTTTTGATTTTGCCATTTGATTAGGGACTTTTCGTTTTGAATTTTTCCTCGGATTTCAGTATTTATGTGATTTTACTTTTTTTACATTTTAAAGATGAATTGGTTGATTATATTAGCAGACCAACACATTTATTATACTTTAAATGTTCATTTAGTCAACTACTCTAAGGAATTTGAAAGTACAATTGTTTGTATTGAACCAGTACTACTACTCAAACTAGTCAGTCAAATCAGTCCAAGTGTTTTAATACTTTTTAAAGGCCTAAAATTAAAGAGCCTACAATAAAAAATAGAACTTGATGATTTACTTACTCTATATTACACAACGCACAGATCAAATTGGGACAACAAGTTCCAGAATATGTTTTACATTTGGATTTTGGTATTTCAGTTATACTTTGTATAAATAACCTGTTTTAGATTAATGGCTTGTATAATTTCGAAGTCTCTATGGTTTTGTAATGAGATAAGGGAAAATAGTTTCCAGCCTAGATATACAGTATACAATGCTTAATATTTGCGCGCTATTTGTAGAAATTGGAGTCTAAATGAAAAACTAAGTTGAAAAGCATTACGAGTAAGAAGTTCTTAACCACCTCATGTCAATTCAAAATTGTTGACTACTGGGAAAATGTAGCCCTAGAGGCAAACAATGTAGGATAAAAAGTGACACCGAATCAGTGGTTATAGACGCTAATCAAAGATAACAGGCTTATATTGCAGTACCCCAAACTCGTACAACTAATTGCAAATCATATGGGAAAATAGTTCAAAATTACGGTTTAATTAAAAACAAGCTTTTTAACTGTTTTCCGAATAGAAAATATGTTTTTTTCGAAAAATCTTTTTTTGAATTGTGAGTACCGATCGTTGTACCATCTCAGCGAAACAGGATAAAAAACCTAAATAGAAAGGTATCAGAAAGTTCATTCTACATGCTGTAAATAATATCACAGATATTTTGTAATATTATATTCACAAAATGTATATGAATGTTTGATTAATTCTGTTAGTGAAACATTTTACATCTTCGAAATAGTACAAACAAATTACAAATATTACTTAAAGACACAGACATAATTTTCTGAAGAATATTTATACATTTTTATACAATTATTTCATTACAAATATTAGGCCAGGAACAACTGCCATATGGTTAAAAAGTCAGTTCAAAATATTCTCATTACAATGTTTTGTTTGACAGATTTTATCTCTTAAGTTTTGATAATAATAATTTATATTGCACACTTTGACAGTTTATGTTATTATTTCAACCTAAACAAACTTAAAATAAAGAATACAATCATGACACTTGTTGAAGTGTTAACAAGGAGGACCGGTGTACTTACTCAGAAACAGACCTACTGTGTGAAAGTAATCCAATCTATAAGAAAAGCTAATCAAACAGTTAATGTGTGTTATATAAAACGATCAGTAAATCTAAATGAGTCGCAAAGATTAATTGACAAAATTCGACTATTTTAGGACCAAAACATTACGTGAAAACGATCGCATTCCATTCGATCAGTTGTTTCTAACAAAACTTATATTTATTTGTTGCACTATTCATTGATATATACTGATAAATAGTTCTGTTTATCTACTGATTGTATACAGGAAGAGTTATAACATTGGTCAAATATTCATAGTCACGTAATTCACGTAAAGAATAATCATAAAAATAAAAGTAATTATTTTTGATTGGTGTATTTTATTCCGTCTAGATTTTTAATGCTTTCTCTTCCGTAAAAATTGAATATATATTGAGGCAAAGTAGTCACCTTATTATTCTTACACAATGGAAATCTCTAGTGTCTGGTTGATATTCTTTGCCCTTTTTGATGCATGCTCCGCTATTCCACTAAGCATGTTTTATCCATATGGCAATCCATTTCATGATCATCTGTTACCTCCGAACGACGACGACAGTTCAAGTGAAATTCACATCAGTTCATCGTTTCCATTTTTCAACACTAGTCATAGGTCACTATTTGTAAGTATTAAATACACCATTGATAGTATATTCAACTGATGCCTACAATAGTCCAAATCTCAGGCAATTTCTGCAAACAAGGGAGAACACACTTGGGATTTGTGTTGCTCAGTCTTTGCTTTTCTGTGTTGTGTTTTGTGTGTCTGTTGAACGTTTTTAATTTTTAGCCATGGCGTTGTAGGTATATTTTCGACTTAAGAGTTTGAATGTCCATGTGGTATCTTTAGTCTTTTGTTCTGTTCAACTTCAAAGAGACTTTCAAATAAATAATGTAAATATCATTTTCTTTTTGAATCAATTGGTTTTTATAGAAAAAAATTTGTCTTCGCTAATCGTCGTCTTGAATATGGCTTTTGCTTTCCGAAAATCTCTTTAGTTGTTCATTATTCGTTAAGATATTAATCGCATTATATATTTTATGGTATTGGTTGATTCTTTGTCTGTTTCTCTCGGCATAGCTCTACGACAGAAGTGTTTTTGTAAAATTATTCGCCAAACTATAATTGACATAAGGTTCAAATAAAATGTTATAGGTTTTTTTCAATTTATTTTTGTATCTGTTGGTACTTAACACTTTGTCTTCCTGCGGTTTAATCAATCTGAAAGTTTTTCATATACCAAAGCTAAAATGATAAGAACGAGGAAAAAATAACACAGAAATGAAGGTTATTTGACGAAAATGGGACGTGAAGACGGGCGGGAAATTTGGGTCAGAAACTACAATAAGCTACCTTTTTATCTCCAATGGTTTCTGCACTAAGTTTTTGAAGCTCATACAGCGTATACGGAACATCGGATTTTTACGAATATAATATCAAGGATCGGGTTTAACCTGACTTGGTAATTATACTTCTTAAGTCTAATTTTCTGGCTGCATGCAGTGCCGAGTGTTAGATATGGTAAAATTCTGACCTAACAATAGTTTTGTTCTCGAAGGATTATATTACTACAGTGTAGTAACATATCATAGTTCAATCGAACTTAATCAATTCACAACAGTTTCTCCGGGGACAAATCAAAATGGTCAAATTTATATTTTATTTCATTCCTTTTTAATGTATTTACCAATATGTCTACAAAATTAAGAAATCATATAAATGTACATGTATTGTAGTTTAACTAGTATCAGCCATATAATTTTAAAAAGTGCTATAATTTTTTATCAAGCTTGTCATTCAATTTCTGTTACATACTTTTGTATCCATGCTGTTGAATCATTTCAGTTATATCAATTTAAAACGTATTGCCAAGTATGTTTTCTAATGTTATATACCATTTAATTTAGGTAAATACCAACGGAGATTTGACATTTCTGTCTGCTTTAAGAACCTTTACGCCTTCTCCATTTCCATACCTTCAAAATACTAGTACTCAGATAGTTGCTGTATACTGGGGTGATATTGATACCAGAAAAGGAGGAGATATCTGGTATAGGGAAACGACTGACTCTGTATTACTTCAGAAAGCCTCCACAGAAATTCACACAGTTTTCCCTCAGCAATCAGGTTTCAATGCAAGTTGGATATTTGTAACAACTTGGAGTAAAGTTGCATTTTACGGATCTAATTCCATTGGACAGAGAATGGTATGAATACATTTTTTGTTAATCAATTCAGTATGATTTGCATCTTCTTTATCCTAACTTTGTATGCACAATGTTATTATTGAAATACCACAAAAAAAAAAACTGAGGTTAACCAATGCATTTAAAATAAAGTGATAATAATATACCATCTAAACCGTTATTAAAGAATCCTTTTAAAACTTTGGTGGTTTCATTCGTCCGTCTGTCTGTACGCTATTACGTCAATTCCTTATATCAAAATGAAAAGAATAGAATTAAACATGCAGAAATCATTTAGTTTCTGATGACCATGTTTTAATAAAAATGTTATATTATTCATTTAATTATTACTAATTTTATTGTAGCGGAACACATTCCAATGTGTTCTTGTAACTGATGGAATGCATTCTTTTGTAATATACAATTATTATAAAATACAGTGGACATCTGGAACTTCAAATAATGGTACCAATCCAACTGGTTTTGGGTCTCAGGTAAGTACATGTTTTATGGTACAGGTTTGATTTTATATCTTCATTTGATACTTTAGTTGAACAAGTTTCTTATGTCTTTCATACATTGATTAAATATTTTGTCATTTCGGGACTTTTATACCTTGTTTTGCGGTATCGGTTTTGCACATTGCTGAAACCGTACGATAACCTATACTTTTACGTCATTTTTGGTGTCCGAAAGAGAACCTCATCATTGAAATTTATATCACATCGTCTCATTATTCATATAGACATTCCTAGATTTTATATTGGCGACATTTGTATATTGTGCAAAAAAACAAATGATTATCCTTCAAGGTGATACCTTAATTCGAAATTCGCGTTTGTAAACGACAAAATTTCTTCCATTAATTCTACAATCAAGACAATCGTATGTTCTACAAGTTCAAGACGACATGATGCCTTTTCAAAAACTGACATAGCCGGAGAGCTATGTGACCAAAAAAAGGTGTCTTAACAATATGTAAAATATCGATTAGTACACATAAAACATCAAATGAATGAAGACAGTCACGATCTAAAATATAAACTTCTAACGCAAAACTTTGTATCTATGAAATAGCGCATAAAGGATTAAGGTTTTGACTAATATGTGGTAACGAAATCCTTGACTTATTCACTTACCAGAAATGCATACATTACATCTGTTGAAATCTAAAGCGTCACTACAGATATGGACATAGCAAATTCGTTCAATATCAACATCGTAAGATGGTGCTAAAGGAACAATATTGTCCAAAAACGGAAAATATACAATAGGGAACAATACATCGTCCCTGTTGTCGTAATTTGATTTGTAGATTTTTCTCGTGTAAAACTGCAATATCGACATATACCAGAGGACTAGTATTGCTGCTTATATTTGATTTATTTAAAGTTACTATCTTTATGTTAATTAAGTCCGTCGTTTTCATGATAATAATTTGGCATACTATTGTGAAAATCATTGTGAAAGTTTGGATCTCGTTCCATATAATTGTATAAATTTCAGTAATGCCTTTGATAATTATATACGTCACGAAAATACGTCACATTTTTCTGGTGTTGATCCATTCTCGTGACCCGCAGTTTGTGGTGTCCTGTGCTGTCATTAATTCATGCACGATTTTCTAAGCTAATCTGCGGTTTACGTGTTCTAATGTACTATTATACTATGATTTTCTATGTGCTGAGTGTTCTTGCGTTTGTTTGTATTGTATTCCTGTCACATAGTGTTGTCATTCGTGTTAGCGGTACTTTTCAATATTGCCATATACTGTAAACCAACTTATTTTCGCAAGCGATTAATTTTCGCGATTTTAGCGTTTAGAAAAATAACGCGAATATAAATCGTCGCGAATATTTTAAACTTGTATCTTTCCTTATTTAACTGCAACAAGTAAATCAGAAAATCGCGAAAAATAAATAGCCGGGAAGTGGACTAGAAAGGATAAAACGCAAAATAAAGTATCCGCGAAAATAAGTTGGTTTACAGTAAGCGGGAGGTTTGGCTAGCCAAATCACCAGGTTCAACCCATGATTTTTGTTGAAATGTCATGTACAAAGTCAGAAATATGGCAGTTATCAAATAGTCCGTTTCTATGTATGCTTTTCTATGTATGCTTTGTTTTTGTTGCAGTTAAGTGTTTCTGTTGTTCCTTTGGTTTCTTCTTATAGTTCATGTGTTGCCCTTGGTTTTAATTTGCAACCCGGATTTGTTTTTTTCTTAATCGGTTGATGACTTTTGAACAGCTGCATGCTACTGTTGATTTTATTAGGCAGTATATTAAGAGAATTCTGGATTATCTAACTATAATAAAATTGAGAATGGAAATGGGGAATGTGTCAAAGAGACAACAACCCGACCATAGAGCAGACAACAGCCGAAGGCCACCAATGGGTCTTCAATGTAGCGAGAAACTCCCGCACCCGGAGGCGTCCTTCAGCTGGCACCTAAACAAATATGTATATTAGTTCAGTGATAATGGACGTCATAATAAACTCCAAATTATACACAAGAAACTAAAATTAAAAATGATACAAGACTAACAAAGGCCAGAGGCTCCTGACTTGGGACAGGCGCAAACATGCGGCGGTGTTAAACATGTTTTTTGAGATCTCAACCCTCCCCTATACCTCTAGCTAATGCAGAAAAAACAAACGTACAACAGTACGCACAGTAAAACTCAGTTTAAGAGAAGTCCGAGTCCGATATCAGAATAGGAAACAAAAGAAAATAAACAAAATACATATTCGATGTAACGGCAAGTGTTCAAGTGTTGTTGAATCTATTAGTTAAATGTTCATGTAGGAAACTATGAAAAATAAATTTGCTAATAATCATTTTACTTCAAACATCGGTAAATACGCTGTTGACTCTTACTTTTAGGTCGGATTCGATGCTGGAGATGGAGTGAATTACTATGTTGTAAATGGCTCTCGAACACCAGGTATCATAAATATTCCACAGATGTCTAATATTGGAATTCCAGGAAAATATATATTCCGCGTTGATCTTGCTTCCATAGAACAGGCTACTTGTAAGTTTAAAAAATGGTACTTGTACTGTTGCTGTTATGAAAGCATTTAAAAATTAAAAGTTTAAAATGAAAGTCTACAAGCTTTGGAAACATATACTATGAATGCAGTTTGGAGTAAATTGGTGTATGATACCTATTCTAGTTATGCACAACAAGTGATTATGGAATGATCTTCACTAGGATGACTATGTACACTTAAGACCAAATTAATAAAGAGAAAGAAATAGTAAAGAAAGCAAATCGTTTGTTACATTGTCTTAGATAAACTTTGATTTGGGGAGTTTCAACCTTAGATTAGATACATTTTGTTCAAACTTCGACATTTACAAATATTTACACGACAATTCAGATAAAGGAATATGTATAAAATTTATTTGAATTCACAGAAAATGCAAATCTAATACATAATCTATGTAAATTCAAATCTGAATCCCCTTCTACGGTCACATGGTATAGTATTTCATTCCATGGCTTCAGTCTCCAGTTTGGTTTGAAATTTCTTCCTATTGGTTTGGTACAAAACATGATACATATACATATCATATTAACATGTTCACTTTCTGAAAGTATAATAGAAATTATTGCTATCGTTGACCTTCTTAAATTCATCTTATAGTGCAAGAAGGTGGGTGACAACAAAACTTTTCGTCGTCTAAACTCCTACCTACCAAAACAATAGTAAAAACGATACTGGATATACAAAAGAAACATTCAAACTTATAAGTCGAAAACAAACCAACAACTAAATGGTATAACGAAAATGATGAAAAGACAAACGACATTCCTATAAAAACAATGTTTTATCATATTAATATTTAGAACGAGTAGCTGTACACAAAAAACAGTTACAAAATTACAGAAGAATAAATTGCATGACTGTTCAATTACTTTTTACACTTAGTGGTGAACGAGTGTGATGGACAGGTTTGTTTGCACAACGGTACATGCCAAGATTTAGATGGATTGTCAACATGGCGTTGTAATTGTGTTTCTGGATTTACTGGTATACACTGTGAAACAGGTAAATAGCGTTTAAACAGTCTTCTTTCACTTGTTTATACGGACTAAAAGTAAAGAAATATCAGTATCACTATAGTTTATATTTATTCTGTGACAAAGGTATTTTGATGCAATTTTTAAAACAAAATAGGGTCATCGATTCCATACGTAAAGTTTAGTTAATCAAATATTATCACCATTTTTGTATTTGCCGGCTTTGACATTAGATTGATACAAACTAACAGAAATTCCTTTGCTAAATATGTTTGACGACATCGGTAGTGCTCCTGGCAAAAACTTCACAGGTAACCAAAGATGTGCCTGCACGAAACTCACCTGCGGTCGATATCAGATGCTCTGGTATTATAAGAATGGTCTGTTTCACTATCGGCATACGTTCCTATGTTCATTGAATATACACATCCTCTCACCTGTAAACGTAGCAATCGATTTTGTATCAAGCGGCAAAAAAGGACAGTTTAGTGGCAACGTAATTGAAACATATATGTGGTCAGCTGCGATATAGTTATTAAATAAGACCATACGTACATTTTCGGAGGACATACCATAACCCTTGAAAAAAAATTTGTGAGTCTATAGCTTCCTCGTAATTGTCTTTAAAGACGTAAAAAAAAAACAGAAAATTGCTCATTTATTACATTGTGTTATTCTTTCAGATATTAATGAATGTCAAAGCTCTCCCTGTCAGCACCATGGAAATTGTTTGGATTTCCTGAATTACTATACATGTCACTGTATGGCCGGATTCACTGGAAAGGACTGCCAGATCGGTCAGTATCAAACAAAAAATACTTTATTATATTAATAAATCAAAAGGTTAATATGGAAAAGGCATATTGAAATTAATCTTACTTTTATCATTTTTTTCGCTTATCTCTTATCAATATTCAAATGTTTCACCACCCTTTAATTTATTAGATATTATGAATATAAAGTGATTTGTATATGTAACAGCTCGTGTTTAGTAAATATGCATTTGGTACGAATATGACAAAAAAATTTTAAAAAAACGTAGATATTTTTCTATAAATTATGGATGTAAAATTATTCGTTTAATATTGGTTACAACTAATATTTTAGATATTGATGAATGTCAAAGTAGCCCATGCATGAATGGTGCAACGTGTAGAGACAAACATAATTCGTATACCTGTGACTGTCAACAAGGATATGTTGGGAATAATTGTCAGATAGGTGAGTAATTTATTTTTCCTTTAAAAAAATTTAGAAGACAAACATTACCATAAGACAGTAAGATAAAAAGAAAAAGCTCAACCCCACAAAATAGAATATGTAAAATGGAGCGTATCATTTTTTAACAATGAAATAGAACTTACGGTAATTCAAATTATACAGTTTTCCCTCTACAGAAACATAAGAATAAGGAGACGATATGAGATTGGCTTGTTTAAAAAAGTAAAATCACAAAAATACTGAACTCCGAGGAAAATTCAAAAAAGAAAGTCCCTAATCAATTGGCAAAGTCAAAAGCTCAAACACATCAAACGAATGGATAACAACTGTCATATTCCTGACTTGGTACAGGCATTTTCTTATGTAGAAAATGGTGGATTGAATCTGGTTTTATAGCTAGCTAAACCCTTCACTTGTATGACAGTCGCATCAAATTCCATTATATTGACAACGATGCGTGAACAAAACAAACAGACAAAACAGGTAAAAATTTCAAAAATAGGGGTACAGCAGTCAACATTGTGTTATCATCTTAATCACTATAAAAACAAACAAATGTAACGAAGAAGCACAAAAAGGCATACATCAAATTTAACATCCTCATTTTGATTTTTTATTATACGATTATTAAACGGTAACGTAATTGAAACATATCCGTGGTCAGCTGTGATACAGTTATTTTAAAATAAGACCATATGTACATCTTCGGAGGATATACCATAATCCTTTAAAACTCACAAGTCTATAGCTTCTTCGTAATTGTCTTTAAAGACGTCCAATGAACAGAATATGTACTCATTTTATTACATTTGCAGAAATTAATGAATGTCATAGCTCTCCCTGTCAGCACCGTGGAACTTGTTTGGATTTACTGAATTACTATAGCTGTCACTGTATGGCCGGATTCACTGGGAAGGACTGCCAGATCGGTCAGTATCAAACACAAAATACTTTATTATATTAATATCAAAAGTTAATATGGAAAAGGCATATGGCGTTCATTATCACTGAACTAGTATATATATTTGTTTAGGGGCCAGCTGAAGGACGCCTCCGGGTGCTGGAATTTCTCGCGGCATTGAAGACCTGTTGGTGACCTTCTGCTGTTGTCTGTTCTATGGTCGGGTTGTTGTCTCTTTGACACATTCCCCATTTCCATTCTCAATTTTATATTGAAATTAATCTTATTTTCGCTTATCTCTTACCAATATATTAAAATATTTCACCAGCCTTTAACTTATCAGATATTTATGAATATAAAACGTATGAAACTGATTTTTATATGCAACAGCTCGTGTATACTAAATATACATTTGGTACGAAAATGACAAAAAAAATTTAAAATGTGTATTTTCTCTTAATTTTGGAAGTAAAATTATGTGTTTAATATACTTTTATTTATTACAACTGATATTTTAGATATCGATGAATGTCAGAGTAGTCCATGCATGAATGGAGCAACGTGTAGAGACAAGAATAATTCGTATACATGTGATTGTCAACAAGGATATGTTGGGAATAATTGTCAGATAGGTGAGTAATTTATGTTTCCTATCTAAAAACATTTAGAAGACAAACATTAACATAATTCAATAAGATAATAAGACAAAGTTCAAACCCACATAATAGAACAAAGTAGAACATGTAAAATTGAGCGTATCATTTTTAACATGGAAATAGAACTTACGGTAGTTGAAATCATACAATTTTCCAAAAATACAATCATAGGGAAAAAGATACGAAAAGAGATTAGTTTGTTTAAACGGTACTAATTTTTCTGCGCCAGTTGTGCATTTTGACTCTTTATGTCTGTTCAGTGATGGTCGAGGCCAAAATATCTGAAAGTACAAAACCTTATTCGTATAATGGCTTCTATTGTTTTTAATTTAAAGACAAAACGTAAAGCTAACCCAGTACGAAGCATCAGAGCTGTACTTGAGAAAGACTTGTATCTTGATATCTGTAATTGCTAACTATACAATGTATTAGATACCGGGCTGGTAATACCCCATTCTGGACTTTCAGTCACTAAGCAGAGGGGTGATCTCAGGGATAGTAATAACGTTAACGGTATCAATTTAACTGAAACAGATGACTTTGTGTATTTTGACAATCAATGTCTCTTCGAGGCCAAAACATTTGAGTCAATAAAAGGTAAAGGTCGTATTGATTATATATCAGCCAAGTGCGATCGTTTTAATGATTATTACATGGTATTTTGTAATATTGATTGATTGTTGGTGTTTAAACGCCACTTTTAAGCACCACTTGTGAGCTTTTTTGTGGCGGCCTTATTTTATTGGTGGAGGAAGCCGGAGTGCCCGGTGAAAACCACCAACCTTCGATACGAATATTTTGTAATAGCATATACTCCTACGATTACCTCACAGAGCACTTGAGATCACCCCCAGTTTTTTGGTGGGGTTCGTGTTGCTTAGTCTTTAGTTTCTATGTTGAGTCTTATGTACTGTAGTTTGTCTGTTTGTCTTTTTCTGTTTTGGCTATTGGCGTTGTCAGGTTGTTTTCGATCTATGAGTTTGAATGTCCCTCTTTCATCATACCTCTGACTTCTTTTACGTGTTATATTGACCTTTGGAAAACGTGTATATGTTTACTAATTTTCTAGTTTTTATGTATTATCTCGATAATATAATAGACAGGTACAAACTGTTAACAGCATGAACTCTTTTATCGTTTTTCTCTTAATTATTTAACAATATAATATATTCATGTTGACTGGGCTTTCAATAACTGCTCCGTGTCATTGGATTTCAGATATAGATGAATGTCAAAGCAACCCTTGTTACAACAATGCTACATGTATTGATAGAACACCTGGATGGAACTGTGCCTGTTTACCTGGATCTACTGGAAATCAGTGTCAAATAGGTATTTTATATAGTACAGTATATAGTATTAACAGCGATCCCTACAAGACGATCCCTACAAGACTGTAGATTTAGTACTGACATAATTTTGGTTAATTTGCAAAAGCAAGTGTAGTTTTTCCTAGTAAAAAGTAAAATAAAAAAATACTGAACTCCGATGAAAATTCAAAAAGGAAAGTTCATAATCAAATGGCAAAATCAAAGCTCAAACACACAACAAACGAATGGATAACAACTGTCATATTCTTAACTTGAGTAAAAGAGTTGTAGTATGAAAGGTTTCCATGCTAATAAAGCCTTTATTTAAAACAAGTTGAACTTCACTATACTTAATTCATTTTAATATTCTGATATATTAGTACAGCTCATTCGTGTTGTATCCACATAAAGATGTTTTTGTTTTACGTTGGAATAAGTAAAAGGTCGTTACAATTTATTTTTAATACCGATTGTGTATATTTTCAGCTATAAACGAATGCAACAGTAATTCATGTAGAAATAATGGAACATGCGTAGATCTTATAAATGGGTACCGTTGTCACTGTTCAAATGATTCTACAGGACAACATTGTGAACATCGTAAGTCAGAATATAACATGTATAGAGTTACAATATAAATCCATTTATCATGTGGTATCTCATAAAAAAAAAAAAAAAAAAACATTAAAGAAGCTTAAAGAATTGTGAGTCGACGAGGACCACACAATTCCATGGCCAAAATAAAAAAAGACAAAATGTACACTACTATCAACAAAACATTGTTGAAAAACGAGCTGATAAGAAAGCCGCAGGGCTCAGCAGTTTCTGATTCACGAGCGACACCTGTCGTGCTACACTTGTGTAAATCAATAAAGCTTAGGTTTCTAATGGAATCCTTTTTAGTAAAAGGATAAGATCGTTGATGTAATCCATGATATGAAGAAAACCCTTGCTATTTTTGTGGTTTCATAGATTTCAATTTCAATGGGATAGTTGCAAGCATCAGTGTCTCAAATATAAACATAAGTAGACTTTGAGTTCATCAATGAAAGTGGCACCATCTGACACCATAACGTGAAGTTCAAATGTAATGAAATGTTACTTCTATTTTGTGTTTACTAGATAGGCATTCAGTGAATAAGATCTGCATCATACGAATAAAGAATGATCCCTACTATCTATTTTGTCGACTTCTGTTTGTTTGTCTTTTTGATGCGTATTTTCTTTAAATATAAAACTATATTACTGTTTGTAGGATTGGATCATTGCTGCTCACATCCCTGTTTACATAATGGTTCATGCATTAACAAGTATGATGGGTTTAAATGTGAATGTAAAGATTCGTGGTTCGGTGATATATGCGAGGAAAGACAAACTAATGAATCTGAGGTAAAGTTTGTATACGACAAACAGGATAAAGCAGGATATGTATATAAATTTGAAGATGTGGTATGATGTGAGTGAGGCAGCTATAAACCTTTAGGAGTTTTGGGTCCGTAATGCTCTTCAACTTCGTACTTTATTTTCCATTTTTACTTTTTGGTTTGAGCTTCACAGATGAGTTTTTTGTAGATGTCTCGCACGTCTGGCTTACACAATTTTAATACTAGAATCTATGATGAGTTTATCGATAAGATATCAAATGACGTATATAGTAGCGTTAATGACCAAAATATCTACCACATGATAATTGCAAACTTTTCAAGGCCCCGACATGACAAAATATAAAACAATTCAAACAAGAAAACCAATTGATGTTCAAACAAATAAACGGAAAACAAATATGATATACAGCAGCAAACTACAACCACTGAATTAGAGGTTACTGACTTTGACAGGTGCATACAAAATGTGGTGGGGTTAAACATGTTTGTGGGCACCAAACCCTTAACTAACGAACAAACTGTGTGAAAACTCCTGACTCATCAAATCGATATCAAGCAAAAAAAAAAAAATAGCAAAAAACAAAAAATACATATTATTGATATGAGAGTACTTGCAGTTACTGAAAGCAAGTTTAGAGCCAATAATTACAAATGAAAAAATCCAGTACCATATACAAAACATCAACCAGTGCACATCCAATTGTTAAGTGTAAAGACGTCAGAAACAGTCTGTGAAAAACAAGAATTTGTGCTCTGCTAAAATATGAGTGTCAACAGAATGTAAGACTGTTATTATTTTTAGTCGTAAAGATGTATTGTATACCACAAGTAAACAGTACAAGGAATTGATTGTATACACATTTGTACCCGTGTATCATTGTTACTGTGTATTAATTAGGGGGTATCACGAATTTTGACCAGACATACACATACTATCTTGATAATTTTGTTGCTTTGGTTTCCATTTACCGTCAGAGAAGGTTGTAATTCACAAAAAAAAAAACATTGCTCTAAAGGGTTAAATTGAAATGTTATCATAAGTACTAAAAATCAGACTGAGAGATAAGAAGTAAGCAAGTGTGTTTTCTGGGTCAATTTAAGTTATTATTACAGTAAATAGTAAGGGGTTTACTGGTGGTTCTAGTGATAACTATGGAATGACATTACAAAGTACTAAATTGTATGAAAGAGGGGCGAAAGATACCAGAGGGACATTCAAACTCATAAATCTAAAATAAACTGACAACGCCATGGCTAAAAAAAAAAGAAAACGACAAACAAACACAAAACAACATAGAAAAATAAAGACTAAACAATACGAACACAGGCACTTGTCTCAGAAATTTTCCTATATACCTTAATATAACAGGATTTGTTTTCTGAGACAAATGCCTGTGCATATGAACCCCACCAAAAAATGGGGAGATATCATGTGCTCCGGAAGGGTAAGACCTGTCTTCAAATCTAAGAACTTGCATATCGTTCTGTGTGTGGGGATGTTGTTTTGCGTACTACTTTCGATTCTGTTTACTTTTTTTTTCAGGGTTGTTCCGTTCTAGAATATTCTGAGTGTTCTTGTTTTACTCAACAGTCGAAGCAGACCAAAAAATCGAACAAAATGTTGATAGGTTCTATAGGCTATGTAATCGGATTATTATTTACGATCTTATCTTACTGTGCTTGGATGATGCTCAATCAATCAAAAAGTGACCGTAAAATTTACCCACATGAAGCAACAATTTTACAACATGAAGTCTTCCAAGAAAGTAAAAACGCTAAGAAGTCAGCGCAATCCTCACAAAGAATCAATAAGCTTCATGAATCCAGGCTTAGAAAACAAAAACAACAGAAAGAACACCACAACTGCTTCTTAGATCACAGTGGATTTGATTTTTCTAAACTATATGTTAACGAAGATGGGAGTCGAAAAATTCTAAAATGTCGGCACCAAAGATTACAAAATGACATTTAAAAATTTTGAAGTATCGAAATTTACTTAATAAAATTTCTGACATTTCAGAAATGTTTTGGTAAAATAAAATCGAGGATGGAATTGTAGGAATTTTTTTCTGAAAGTAAGGAAAAATTGATCTAGATGTTTGTAATATGATTTAATAAAATGTTGTTCATGTTTATTCAGTTTTAGGCTTGAGTTTATACTTTTAAAAAGGTACTGACTGATACACAAATATGAACTCGAATTCATCATAAAATATAATAGATAGGGAAAATATCAAATTATCCAAATAGAGATATTTTACCGATCGTGCCCTATTCCCGAGTGTGACA